CCGAGTTGATTTCAGGCAAGGTTGGATCCGGTTCAGGAGATGCCTCTAGCAAGAAGTCTGTTACTCTGGCTTTTCGTCGACTGCTGTATCTGTACGTCGGTTCAAAATTCAGTAGCTTGGCCCAACTTTTTTTAGGATATCGTAGTGCGGCGCGAAGTATGTTTAGATTGGGGTAGCCGTACAGTGACTTGAGGTGGGCTGAATCTGCATAAAGAAGACAACTGTCAGTTCGGTTCAGGAACAAGAAACCGAAATAAAATGAGGCATGCAAAGAAGCCGAGGTAGTTATACCGAGGGTTCCTTTCTTCCAGTTTATATTGCGGCCTGGGATCTGGGCTTGGTGGTCTTCAAAATTCCCATATACCCAGAAAAAATCGTCATCATTTAAGTCTTTGTCCGGTGTGTCCTTTATTATTTTCTCTCGGCGGCAGTGTATTCTTAGATAATAGACCCAGCCATCTTCTTTTGATCTTAGGGAATATTGATGGAAGAGTTCGGCTAAGCCGAGGTTAATGCCAGCTCGGCGATTTAGCTCGGCTATACCATTTATTATGCGGTATGAATTTGTGGAGAGTTGGGTGGGGCATATCCTAGTTTGCCTAAGGAATTCACAAAGTAAAGGTTGTACAGGGAATCTTAGTCCGATTTCTATAATGGACAGGAGGGTAAAAGGTACAAAACCTTGGTTTCCCCATGGTATGATATTTTGTTTGGCTAAAGTGAGATGGACATCATCAAGAATGTTATACTCCCTTCGGAATTCCGCCAAGCCACCAGGTGTGTCTGCTAGAAACCTATATTTACCCATTCTCTATTAAGTTATGAATAAATTAAACTGGTGTTAGCTCGGTCGGAAAAAGGCGTTGAGTAGCTTGGTTAAGCGCTCAAAGGAGGGCCTGGGCAACCTAAAGTCAGCAAAGTGAAAAGAAAAGCGTTAAGCACAGATCATGGAACCGTGCTAAAAGAAATAAAGGCAAGATAAATATAGTCCTAGCTCGGTTTGTAAAAGGGATTTGGTATCTCGGTTTGTGCAAGGGGTTTGTTATCTTGGTTTGTGCATGGGTTTTGTTAGTCCGGTTGAGCCTTTAGGGGCAGTGCTCTTAGTTCGGTCTGAACTACGAAGGCTGGTCTAGTCCCAGGTTATAGCTCAGCCGTGGTCGAGACTATCAAGCACACTATTACGCAGACTTAGTACGGTTTGTTAGCTCGGCAAAATTAAATCAAAAGATGTTTTACTTGTTGAAACTACTGGTACGGTGTTAGTTCTGTTATACTGTGATTTTGGATCAAAATCAATGTTTTTCAGTTTATTCATGGAAAATTGGAGGTTCTATTACATGGCTCTTCAACGAAAGAAAGGTATGTGTTTTGAAAAAACACACAAAATACATGTATTATAAAAGCAAATGCGAAAAACAACAAAAATAAGGCAGATTTGAGTAAACTTACCAGGACAATAGGAAGAAATCGAAGATGGAAGCAACGGTAGTGAAGAACACGAACTCAGCAAAGTTCAGGGTCGAGAAGAAATAGAAGCCCAGAGAGAGAGAATGAAAGAAATGAATAGTAGGTTGATAGATTCAAAATGAAGAGTGTGTTTTGCGTAGAAGAAAGGACAAAAAAAAAAGAGCGGGACTGTTCAAAAAGCACAGAGTACGAAGACGGCGTGACAACTGCATTGGGCCAATCAGAGTGGGCCACGTGTCATGGGAATGGGAAACGATTCAGTGGCTATGATTGAAGAGACGTTATGACCAGACAGGTAGAGCCTGGTGTAAATTTAGTTCGGATAGAAAGGCTCAAGTGTTTGGCTCGATTGTGCAACTAAAGTTTTATAGCTCGGTTGGAAGGCTGAAACTTTTTAGCTCTGTTGGTAACAGATAATCCCTATCATGCTGTGCAGATGGAATTAAGGGACAACTGAGAGGGTAATTTATATGAAAATTGGGCCGAGCTGGGTAATGGGCCGTTATGGGCCACAGTACGAAGGGCTGAGTAAAAAGGCCATGAAGTTACTCCAGTCCCAAAGGGCTTACGGTAAGCTCGGTTGTCACACATGAAGTTATCCCGGTCAGGACCACGGTATTGGTTATCCCGGTCGAGACATGCCATGGTTAGCACCGATAGAAACCGGGGTAAGAGTAGTGAATGGAAGAGCCGAGCTAAAGCTAGCTCAGTCTAGTCTGCGGCTTAGCATAGCCATGCTTACCTCGGTCATATTGGAGTCCGACCATGGTAAAACTATTTCACTTGGTTTAAGCAGTGAGGAGGGTGTTGAATAGGGGTGAGCATGGTCCAGATTGGACCGGATTGGGGTAAAACCAGGACCAATCCGTTATCTACGGTTCTTGAAAAATTGGAACCAATCCAATCCGTTTAAATCATGGAACCAATCCGAACCAATCCATTTAAATACGGATTGGATCGGTTTAGGACCACGGATTCACATAATTAAATAACAAAAATATATATATATTAACACTTTAATTTCATAAAATATAAACTAGCTCTATATCAGTTTCACAATAGCAAACATGTTTTCTATAATAGTGACATACTGTTCCTAGAATTAAACAATATATAAGAAAAACTGGTTACCATAAGATTTAGACCTGTTAATCATATTATTTAATTTTGATGATGTCTTAAAATATTATTTGTAAACAATTTGGATTTTTTTAATATACATATTATTTGACACAAAATATTATCTTTTTAAAAATATATATATTTGTTAAAATTAAAATAAAAATATTTTTGAAAACTTTACTATTCACTTTTTGAAAATTTAGGGCTGATCACTATTCACTTTTTTGACAAAATTAAAATTGATATAAAATGATTGGTTGTATTATCTTGACAAATATGATATTAATGAATTGTCTTCTTTTGATAAATTAATATGGAGTGTAGAATATATTTAGTTTAAAATCTCTACAACATATACAATATTTTAAAGAGGGCATATATTTTCAGATCCATCATAAATATTATTTAAAGAGATTTTTCTGTGTATGCAAATATTTGATCAAACATATATAACATTATATATATATATATTATATATATATATTGCATATAATAAATATGAGAATACATCACGTGCGCTATTAAATTTTTTACATTACATTGATTATATCATATTATAATCAAACAAGAAGAAAAAGATGGAGTTATATTATATGTATATATATATTATAATATATATAAAACTAGATGGAGAAAATTATTTGTTTGTTTGAAAGTTGTGAACTGTGTATTAAATTGTCTACAAAAATGGTGGCTCCATGTTTGAAATAACAAAAAGAAAAAATCAGTCTTATTTTTTATCTTTTGCTGACTATTCAAAATCAAGGAGTGTGCTTATGTAAGCGATGCATCAAGAGTGTGTTGTATAAGTCATGACATCAGGACGTGCTTATGTAAGCCATGACGTCAGGAGCGTGCTTATGTAAGCCATGACGTCAGCAAGGAGCGTCCAATGGGTATATTTTTGTGTATAAATAGAAGTGTTGGATGTGGAGAAAAATCAAGAACTTGAAGAGAAAATTTTCTTGAGCTCCAAATTGTATTCTCTCTTGCACTTTCAATCTAAGTCTAACTTTTGTTCTTACACTTTCATATCTACTCTTTGTGAGAGAATTATTGTAAAAGTGGGTTCAATTACCACTTATTCTTATTCCTTATTTTTGTGAGAGATTTTGTAAGGGTAAGGCATTATTGTTGAGTGAGGCTCAATAGATAAGAGTAAGTCTGTGCAAATCCACAAGCTTGGTGGTGTATTATTCAATTGATAGTAAAGAAATTCTCAAGGAGGTTCTTGGGGAGTGGACGTAGGCCTGGCGTGCCGCACCACTATAAATCGCAGTGTTTGATTTTCTCTCTCTATCTCTTCTACTTTTATATTGATAATTATTATTCTGTTTTTTTTTTTATTTATTAAAATTCTGAAATATTGTGTTATTTTTAATATTGTGAAATTTTTAATAACCCAATTCACCTCCTCTTGGGTTGCCTATCTGGGAAACAAGACCATTACAAATTAAAACTAAAAACTACAAACAAAGTAATAAAAGAAGATATTAACGGTTTTTAGGTTGAGTTTGATTTTATATAGAATAAGAAGATGTACTATGGGGGAGATGTATAACAAAAATATAGACTATTTGTATACGGTCCGGATCGGTTCAATCCGGAACCGTGAGGTTCAATCCGGAACCAATCCGTGGACTACGGATTTTTAATTCTTCAATCCGGAACCGAACTGCGGATTTAAAAAACCAATCCAAACCTATCGGATTGGACTGGACTGGATTCGGATTAACGGATTTCACGGATTCCTTGCTCAGCCCTAGTGTTGAAGGATAAGCATTATCTTTTCGGGAGTAAGACTCCTGGAGGACTCTACATGAGGAGTAAGAGTCCTAGTAAGATTGTGCCACGTGGAACCTATAAAGTTCACAACATCACCTATGGAGAGGTAACACAATTTTGATTCCCAAAACACAGAACTTTCTTGTCTATTTGTCTATTTTGCTGACTTAGGTATCGGAGAGGTATCCGGCACACATCCGCCGGCTAACTCACGTTTGTGTTTTCAAGGAGTAAAGCGACGACATACGAAGGAGCGCAGACTTGATCAACAGGATTATACGGGAAGAATATTTCGTGCTCGTACAGGTGTCATGTTACGTTTATGTAGGTATCACGTTACGTTAGGTTTATGTAGATATGATTTATACTAACATTCAATTTCCTATGACTTATGGGAATATAAATTTTTTAGTAGGAGCATATGTAGCATAAGTCTCCTAATAGGACTTATAAATAATTTTTTCTAAATATTAATGCTATAATTTTTTATTAATGAGTAATTAATTTTTTCTGCTAGCATGGTAGAACATTTACAAATAAAAAAATATTATAAGTCTCAAATTTCGTATCAAACAAAATGATTAAACTTTTTTTTAAAACCTCACACGCATGTGGGATTTGGTTATCTGTTTACCAAATTCATCTCTTTCATTGTTGGAAGTTTTATAAGGTGACAAATAATGAATTGAAGATCATTTCAGTAGTCGTGAGTGGTAGTAGTAGCAGCCGCATAGTAGGTATCTTCTTCAGCTTCTGTCAGTCTCCTTGAGGAAACCAAAACCTCTGTTGACGAGTGAGGAAAAGGAGGATGGTAGGGTTTTTTGGTAGTTGTTAGTAGTTTTGTAGTGATAGAGAGATGATGGTTGCGAAAATGACTACAAAAATCCTTTATAACCCAAGGAATTTGACAATTACTACCTCCTGCTCACCAAAAACACCACCAACACCTTCCCACTCCAACAATAATCGGAGGCTCATCTTCTGTTTAAACCTTTCATTTCGCCGCCCAAAACTCTACTACCCTCCTCCTCCTCCTCCTCCTCCTCCTCATAATAATAATATTATTAATAATCGATATCCCCAACAGCCACGCCCTGTGCGAGCCTTCTCTCTCCCACAACACCACGACGACGACGACCAATCACCCGACGAGGACGATGACGATGACGGCGCTCACAAAAGCTGCTCTTCTTCTACCCTCAAAGATGAAGAAGATGGAGAAGATGGAGATGCGAGAGAAGCAGTTTCCGAAATTCTTCAAGAGTTTGGGGCTTCCAAGGAGGACTCGATCCACATTGCAATGCGATCTCCCAAATATTTGGCCATGCTTGTTGAGAGCGTACGCGACTTGGATGACCTCTCTCTCTGGAATTCCTGGTCCAGGAGGAGAAGGAGGAATGATGATGAAAATATAGGAAAGGAAAAGGAGGAGGAGGAGGAGGAGGAGGAGAAAAGTCTGTTGTCATTAAAAGAGAAGGTGTATTACATGGGCATGGAGAAAGGCGATAAGGGGATGCTTCCTTTCCTTGAGAGCCTTGGCATGACTCTGCCTTCCGCAACTCACTTGGCCCGCTATCTCTCTTCCCAGACTCTTCCCAACCTCATTCACAAGGTACTACTGCTTACTACTTACTACTTACTACTACTATTATTTTCATTGTCTTGAGGATGCACAATTTAAAGTTCAAACAATTGTCAATTGTCTGTTCGCTAAAACTGGAATACTTATCAAAAGAAAACTGGAATTGTGTTTGGGGAATTTGGGGAGGTATTTGGAAAGGGAAGGGGAAAAGGTGTATGAAATGAGGTGAAATGTAGACATGAAAAATATGCCCACATTGTGTGGGTGGTGTTTCATGTTGTGGAGACCGAATAAAATCAATTAAGAAGAGGCCAAGGCATTTGATCGACATCAGGCCAAAAGCAATTCGGCCTTGACCAAGGGCTCATGAAGCCGAATAAATGAATCGGCCATATAAGGAGCCGAATAGGAGTCATCACTCAACTAGAAGGCCGACTAGGTAACTACATGCGAGATCAAGAGTGGGCCCAACTCTCGGGCCCAGAGGTAATATAAAAAGGGAGGGATGTCAACTAAATGAGGTATGTGAGAATTTACAAGATAACTTGAGATAGAAGTAAAATTGGAGAGGATACTGACTTGCCCGTTGGAGTGCTAATTCCGACACTCCCGACCGGAGTGTTCATCCCTTTTCCAGGTAGCAATTGAAAGATCAAGAGCGTCTGATCGGATCTAAGAGTATTTCCAAACCACTTTACCACACATGTCTATTCTTTGATTAACAAAGTATGTGTGTGATGTGTATTTCCACACAATATCACCAGCAAAACAATAAATAACTAACCAAGTTAATAAATATTGGTCATACAACTTCAAATAATTCATAAACTTTTTCACAAATTGCTTCATTTATGAAAACACTGCATTTCATAGATCAGAGTAATCATCCTGATGAACATCTAACCAGATCATGCAGCAAGATTGTAGGGAGAATCAAACATAGAAGAACAACAACAAAAACAAGATCAATGCTCTTCCTCATACTTCAATTTGTACTCATTATACAAGGCCTAATTCGTTTTCCCCCTCATGACCCCAAAAACATCTAAAAATAACAAAATTACATATTTCATGCCCTAAATTAATGCTAAAATAAATCCTAAATTTCAACACTTAGTCTACGCCTAAAGTTAAGTAAATAGCTTTGCACGATTCTTATCACCGAACTTTTTTTTTTAATGTTCGGAGCCTGGTTTTATAACAAATAAGCTTTGTCGTTTAGTTTAGTTGTCTAGAGGTGTTGCTTATTCAGCGTTTGCTTATAGGTTAAGTATGTGAAGGAAATGTTCTTTTCTAACAGTGACGATAAAGGGCTTATTGGAAAGAATGCTCGCCGAATGATGATGTACCTATCAATTTCTGTTGATGAGGATGTGCAACAAACCTTATCATTTTTTGAGAAGGTTAGTATGTCTCCCTGAAATTTTTATAACTAATCAATACTTTTGAGATACAAGTGTCTTAGGTTCTTTTTATTTATTCATTATGACTCATGCATTATAAGATGAACTTCATGATGTTTACTTGATTTAGTTATGTCGAAAGCAGTATTTTCAATTTTATGTTGCAGATTGAAGCAAGGCGTGGAGGTTTGGACGTGTTGGGCTCCCAAGATGCCTCTTTTCGATACCTCATTGAATCATTTCCACGTCTTCTTTTGCTATCATTGGAATCTCATATGAAGCCATTGGTGGAATTCCTTGAAGATATTGGAGTGCCTAGAGGGTGCATGAGAAATATTCTTCTACTGTTTCCACCCATTTTTTTCTACGACATCGAGAAGGATATTAAACCAAGGATACAAGCTTTTCAGAAGGTATCAATATATTCTAGATGGCAGCCTTTTTATTATGTTGATTGCACCCTATAACCAAAATGTTTTTATATATATGTAGTTACACATTGTAACAAGGACATGTAGTTTGTATTGACATTTGCACTGAAGCTTGTTTCTAGGTATCCTTTACTTTAAATGCAGTTTCATTCTTAAGATAATTAAGGATTAATAATTAAGATAATGTAGGATTAATAAGGCCATAGTGCAATTAACTAGTTTCTTAATATGAAGGCATATATTTGTTTTGCCTGTGTTGGAATATGTTAAGATATATATTACTCTTCTCTACGAACATATCCCTTCCAAAACATCATTACTTGAGGTGTACATTTCATGGTTGCTCAAGCTATGTCATCGTTTTACAACCTTGACTCCTTACAATGTCTGCACTTTTCAAGATGTAGTCTGTAGATCAATGTAAATGGTGTATGCAGTTTTCCCCTTTTGAGGGCAGATTGGAAATTAGTTGCCAAATTTTATGAAATGGCTTGACTTTATGATGTTGTGGGCATATGCCTAAACCAATTTCGGTAATATTGAATTGATGCAAGTAACATTGAATTCTTTTATCTGCTGTTAGACTATGCATGGGAGCATCTGGGACATGAGGACTATTTTGGCATTGTTTCCAGTTGGCTCATAGCTTCATATTGTTTAAGAATTAGGTGAGCTGAAATTATGCTGATCAATTAGTTCCATGATCTTCAGTACATGTAGAAGACAGATTGTCTTAGGGTTAGAAATGGTGGAGTTGGTCATCCTAAATGCTTAGTCTGTCAGCTAATTGTTTTTTGGAAATGTATGATACTGTTTGATGTTGGGTTATGGTTAGTCAATAAATTTCTAAGCTATGGAGCCTTTCTGCTTTGTGACATCTATTGATCTTGGAAGCATTGTTATCATGTTGATTTTTATTGCTGCTGCATTATAGCACTATCATAGTAACTAACTATTACACATTCTATAAATAACTTTTCCTTGTTTGTTATCTTATATACAGACACAAACACGTCTCACGTGCACAAACACATATTGAACTCACTCTTTGTGGATTTATGATTTGTGTTGTTGACATGTTGTCTGCTTATGATTTTCAGCTTTTGTCCACATCATGTCTTTCAGGTAGATGCAGGAAATAAAGATTTTGGCAGGATGTTGCTGAAGTATCCATGGATTCTTTCTACAGGCATTCAAGAAAACTATGAAGAAATCCTTTCTTTTTTTGATATGGAGAAGGTAATAGTTTTAATATGTCATAATTCCATGCTTGGCCAAGTTTTGCCGGCAATACACTTCTCATTTATGTCTGAATAAATCGTTTGGCTGTCCTTAGTGGTTGTGATTTGTGTCTATTACATGTGTTACTTGTTCAATGTTGTGGCTAAGAAGCATGAACCCTTCTAAGAATGTTGTGGATATATACCTATTAATTCCTCCTCCTTCAAGTTTTTTTTATTTTAGGAACTTTAAAACTTAAAACCTTCAATTTCTTTTTAAATAAACCTTTTTTTGATAGATGTATAGGACACTTTGTTCACACTTCTTTTCCAATATATAGGATGTGGAAAATAATATCTTACTATTTTGATATCGTAAAATAAGTGTATTTGTAATGCAAAAGTGCAAAAAAAAAAAATAGTTAGTATTTCAGCGTATATATCAATATCAATATAGATATATATATTTATGGGTAAATTAGACTTATTTCCCTTGACCTTTTTTACAAATTACAGAGACCTCCCCCATGGCTTTTGAAATGACATTGACCTCCCTTGTCAATGTTGTTGGATTAACAGGGTTAATGGAGTGTATATTTTTACAATTTTAACCTTGATATTTTCCTCTTTTAATTCCAGTAATACTTCTCACACCCCTACCATGCCTCTTACCACACTCAAGCCCTCCCTCTACATCGTTATTCCCCAATTCCCAACCCTGATCTCTTAGACATAACCCAAATCCATTATGCCAGCACCACCATACCTCCCCTTCCTCTACAAGCTCACCACCTTGTCTTCCTCTCCCTCTCATCAATTTCGGCAACCCTGTCTCCCTCTCCCCGATTTCTCTTTCTCTTTATCCTCCTCCCCCATTGACAGAATTATTTTGCCTTTCAAACCTTGATGAAGAATATCTACTAGGGATCTTAGTTCTCATCAGCTGGACTCTAGCTCTACTTTTATTGGACAAATGTCTTCATCATTCTTCATGACTATGATCGTGGAGAAGCTGGAATTTTTGCTCTATATTCATTTCTCTGTAGGCATATCAATTTCCGAGCAGACTTACCATACAAAACACATGGTTGCAATCCGATAACACTATGAGATATTAAACGCGAGGGAGTGCTTTGCAATCCTCCACAGCTCAATTCCTTCTTGCTTTCCTAGTACTACTTGGAACCTGTATGGAATATCATTTGTTCCTATATGCCATATTATAAATTTCCCTTGTGATATTGTGTAGCTCTTCTTTCTCCGTACTTTACTAACAAGACAAATTGGCTTGTAATTACTTGATACCAGAAATGTTACATTTGATGCATTCATAATTTTTATGCAGGTACCAAAAGTTAGTATTGATCTTGCAATCAAAAGCTGGCCTCTTCTTTTGGGTTGTTCAATTGGCAAGCTGAACTTGATGGTACAACAGTTTGGTGAATTAGGTGTTAGAAACAAGAAATTAGGTCAGGTCATTGCCACAAGTCCTCAGCTGTTACTGCGGAAACCTCAGGAATTTCTGCAGGTCAGTAATTGAGACTTCTTTTTTTAAAACATGTCTTAGCTTTTATGTGCAAAAAAATTTCCTCACAATTTAGAAGCTGTTATGCCATGAACCATGATTCTATTTGCATTATGGATACCAAGAATTCGTAGTCCATTCTTTTCTTAATCTTGAACCTCCCGTGGAGTTGTGATTCATGATGTCATTCCTTTCATCTATTTTGTTCCCCTTGGTTTTCATTCTTTGTTGCTTCGTGTAATTAACTGAATAAATTATTTCATATTTGTGTAATTTTGAAAAATCTGAAATGTGTTCCAATGACTCTTCGGCATGCATAAGGGATGTGGGTGCATATCAATGCAAGTTTTCTTTCTCTTGGGTTGTAACATGTTTGTCCTTTTGTAGAATGTTAATGAAGTAATGGTGATAATTGAACACATTTGTGTAACATTTGTCCTTGGGTTCTTCTGATAAAGTCTTTAGAAGATTCTTGATTCTGGAGAAGTTTTACTGTCCTATTTTGGTGTTTAAATACTTTGTGTGTTGATTTATGATAATAAGTGATTGCCATAGCTAGTAATTCTCTGGTACACTGGTCCCATGACAGGACAGATTTTGAATGACTGAGGGCTTAGGCAAGTCACAAGAAATGTAAAGCTAATTATATCCAAAAGCCCAAAGTCATTTGCAAAGTGAGTCTCATTATGAGAGAGTTTTGATATTGCTATACCTTTTAACAACTTCTAACGTTATGCAGACCAGCTAAAGTTTAGAGGCAGAATTTGTTGTTCATAAACTCGGTTAAGTGTGTCGGGTTTCCGGTGTTTTCCTAGGTGCTGTATTCATCTAATTTAGGTGGCCTTGAGTACTTGTATTTTTGCAGCTATATTTGTTTTATTTTATTTATTTGCAGAATGCGAGTGGGGAGGGGGATGCAGCTGGTTCTCAAGCTCCTTGGGAGGCTTGAACCCAATCGTGTACTTTTGCCAACAGTACCCCCAGACAAAATATTTCCAAGAATGTCACGATTTTTTTTTATGATATTGTTTACAATTACATAGTGTTTGCTATCTGCATTGACAGATTCTTTGGAGTCTTTTAGTTGGAAACTTACTATTGTCATGTACAGGTGGTGTCATTTTTGAAAGATTTGGGACTTGATGAGGAAACAATTGGTAGCGTACTTGGTCGCTGTCCTGAAATCTTTGCTACAAGCATTGAGAGAACTCTCAATAAGAAACTTGATTTCTTTAGTACTATTGGTATCTCTAAGAGCCATCTTCCTCGGGTTATCAGGAAATATCCAGAGCTTTTTGTATGTGATGTTGACAGAACCCTGCTTCCTCGGTAATGCTCTTAATTCACAAGTACATGATGTCAGTAATCTAACTGTTTAATTTGTACTTCATTTACCATAGGATTGTGTAATGCATGAAATCATAGTTGTCAAATCGGGATTCGTATCATGAATCGAAATGGTCTTGTACCGTGTTAGAATTTACCATCACCTACCACCACTACCACCTCACCTACTCCACTAAACCTAACCCACTACACCACTACCACCATCCACTACACACCATCCACTACACCTACATCTATATAAGGAACCATTTGTAATAGACACAACATCAATATATCAATTACAAATATCAATCAATAATACAATTCTCTATTTCTCTTTATACATTAAATTTTCTACATACCGAATCGCGAATCGAATCGAATCGTGAATCGTAAAGATTCGGTCACTTTTTCTAAATTACTTAAGAGCATTTATCTTAAGACTTGACAACTATGATTAAGACTTGACCTAATAACCTTGAGGTTATGGGTTCAAGTCTTGGGCCCACCACTTTGTGTATTATGCCAAAGGTTAGGTGTGGACTCAATCTTTACCCTCCCAAACACACATTAATGTGTACTAAGTGGGCGTTGTTTTTTTACTTAAGAACATTTATCTACACATTTAGATGTTAAATATATCTTATGAATATAAAATATTTAGACTTAAATCAATAAAATGTTATTTTGAATAATAATCACTTAGTTTAATAGGTAAGAAGTTAACAAAGGTTTCTATGTAAGATCACCATATTTCATTTTTTCTTTTTTAGATATTTTTTATCAACCATTCTTAATAAAGATGTAATATCACCATCTTGCCTTTTTTCTTTTTTAGATATTTCTTATCAGCCATTTTTAATAAAGATAGTAACTAAATAGACAAACTATCAATTTCCAAAATAACAATAATTAACAACAATGTTGATATTTGGACAATAAGCATATATACTTTTCTAAGTAACAGTGAGCAAATAATAAGAAGGAATTATTTAGAATCTTTTATTTTAAAGCCTAAAACATTTTAAAAAGTATAACGGATCTCACACATGTAATATTCAATTTAATAAAATAATAATAGATAATTTATAGTTTAATTTTAATCTTAAACATCTTTAGAAGATATATTATGATTTTTTAAAAAGAAAAAAAAATCAGAAGAAAGGTTAAAAATATGTTGGGTCTGATTGAATTTAATTGGATCCTATTAAAAACTCCATGATCACTAAAATAACAATAAATCATGTATATATGTTGGTTATTTTGGTATTAAATGCTATTAAAACTTGTATTATGCCATTTTCACTAAAAAGATGGAGAAAAAAAGAGTCGAAAATATGTCGTACACAATAATTTTAAAAATTGCATGAATCTTAAAAAGTGAATCGAATCGTAACGTAAATCGACTGTGAATCGTGCGATTCACTAGAGATTCACTTCCAAAATAGATTCACCTATAGATTCGTATCGATTTTGCAAAAATTGCGAATCGAATCACGAATCGTAAGATTCTGATAACAGAGCATGAAATCAACAAATTATCAAAGGCTCGGTTAGGTGTACAAAATTGTATGACCTGCTCTCCTGTTTGCCGTTTCATGGCAACAAATTAAATAATTTTCAAAATCAAATTTTGGGCCATAACCCATGAGTTTCTGGTGCCCTGCCAGATTGAGTTTGGTGGCAACTAAGACTGCGAGTGTGCTTTAGTATTGATTTTACCAATCAAGCTCCCACTGAACAGTGGTCAATTTTCTCGTATGTTTTAACTTAATTCGATGTGTTTTGGCAGCATGACGTACTTAATGAAGACGGGGCTGTCACAGAGGGATGTTGCGTTTATGGTCCGTAGGTTCTCACCATTACTAGGCTATAGTATTGAAGAGGTTTTGAGACCAAAGTTAGAATTCCTAGTGAACACCATGGAAAAGCCTTTAAAGGAGGTGGTGGACTATCCAAGGTATTTCAGTTACTCACTGGAGAGGAAGATCAAGCCCAGGTACTGGGTGCTGAAGGGAAGGAGCATGGAAGAATGTAGCTTGAAAGATATGTTGGGTAAGAATGATGAGGAATTTGCAGCCGAGCTTATGGGTGTTGGAATTGTTTCCCCTCCCCCTAATCTTCAATGAATGCTGTGTGTATATGATAAATGCTTCCTTTTGTATGCATATTATAGTGGCTCCTTTGTAAAATAGTCGACAATTTTTAACATATTTTTAAGTTCACATCCTCATGGTTATATATACAGTTCTTGGCCCTAGTTTGGATGTTGGATTTCTGCAAGGAAGGCAAATGAAATTATTTGTGCACATCCATAAGAAGATTTGATGCTTGTGTATAACCTCCCAGTAGTATACAATATTTTGGATAGATTTAGCTTCAATACTTCAGATTTTCATTAGAATTGCGACATGCCCAATTTCGCTATATGATAATAATTTTTTGTTATTTCTGTTGTCAATTATTGTTACTATTTTTCTTTCTTGCAGTTCTAGCCAAAGAGTAAGTTTTGCAGGGGTGCAGTTGGCATAGGTCCAAGCAATTGCCTCTAGCCATGATAATGGCAGTGTTTTTGTAGGGTGTCTTATGTTCCGTTTATGCCTCCATCCTCAATTCGGGTGGGATAATTTATCCTGTCTCACCTTACGGATGGATTATTTTGGGTGGTTTATCATTTTTTATGAATAAATTAAAATTAATTTTAATAAAATAAAAAGAGAAATATCAGAAAAGTGGCATGTAGGATAAATAGTAATACCATTTTAATGGATATCTTTTAAAAAAATATTAATATACATGGAAGATTCAAAAAGTACCTTCAATCCTGTATTATCTATAATGTCTTGTCTCTTCTTTTTCCTCTTTTAGTTTTCCTATTCTACAATGATCGTCGGTCATTGTCATCAATGTTGGCATTCTGTTGGTGATCGTGGCAAAATTCTCCCCCTCCCCTCATCCCCTTGTATTCTCTTTCACCCTTCTTGGCTACCACCATCGATACTCCCACCTTCCTTGCGACTCTCCAATCTTTCTCCCACCATAGCCATTGCCACCCTTCCCAATGCATCATTGCTTCCCCTCACACCACCCAACAAGCCCTAGCCATGGAGGCCATTCTAACTCCCAACCCCTCCTCATCACAATTGTTTCCATTTTGTCATGTTGTTTGAATGGAGCAAGGATCCTCTAGGGTATTTTTTTTTTTAAGTTTTCTAGAGTGGTGTATTGTGTGATTGAGATTTAATAACAAGTCACATCAATTTTTTTACATTAAATCTCAACCACACAATACACCATTTTAAGAAACTTTAAGAAAAAAACATTCTAGAGGATTCTTGGTGGTTTGGATGTACTCAACGTAAGTACAAGTTACAAATGTGATAATCCACAATATATGCTTGCATGAGACACTCGCAGTCAATACTCATGCTCGATTGCACCGAGTACATTTTACAACAAGGGTTGAGGGGGGGAGGAATGGAAGGAGTAGGTGGTTTCACCAGATACATTTTGGAACAAGGGTTGAGAGGGGAGGGGGGGAATGGAAGGAGTTGGTGGTGGTGGTGGTGGAGGAGATGGTGGTGCTGGTTTGTATAATGTTAAATAAAAATATTGTATGATTTTTCTTAGTTGTTTATTGTAAATATATATATATATATATATATATTTATAATTAAAATGATCAAATGATATATTGACAATAAAATAATTTTATTCTCACATTATTTGAGTGTGTGAACAAAAACAATATATGACTAGGTTTATAACAGTGACTCTCATTTGAAAAAAAATTAAAATTAAAATTATTGAGATTATATTATTTTTCACTAACTAAAAATGAAGAAATTACTTGTTAATGTAAAGGTAAAAAAATATTTTCAAATCAATGGCATGCTCTATAGACGTGTAATATTCCAAAATTTTCATAATTTTATAATTAAATTTTAAAGAAATCACTGACAAGCAAATTTTTCATTAAAAAATCATTTTGCTAACAAGTATCTTAGAACACAAGTAAAAGATAAAAAACATTAAAATTAATCTACGATCTCTCTTTCTATTTTGTAATGTAAAAAATTCACAATATTATTTTATTATATTTAATGTCTTCAACCCCACACTCATATATACCATAGAAAAATTTTCAAATCAATCCCACCTCTCTCTCCCCGATCTCATCACTTCACCTCCACCGCAGTTGCCGGCTCCTCCACTATTGCTGCCACCACTGCCAGTGCCTCTCCCTTTATATCAACTTCGCAGATCGACGGATCTGCCGCCATCATCACCCTCACTTAAGGAGGGGGCTGTTACGACTCTTCGTTTTCAATGGTTCCAGCGTTAAAGATTTTAGAGATTCAGGGTTAATCATACAGAGAGGAAATTCATAGCCATTGGGATCAGAAAATGCTGCGACACCACCAGAGTCGCAGACTGGTTCGAATTTGCCAAACTCAATAACGCTGATCAATATTCAGAGGGCTTGTCTGATGAAGATTGCATTGGCGAATTGGTCCAAAGCTGGAGGCGGAGAGAGGCTGAAGAAGCCTTTCAGTCCGGATTTGGTAAAAGAGATTTACGACACGGAGTTGCTGGTCAATGAGGGTCGGAAGCCTGTGCCGCTGCAAAGGGTGATGATTCTGGAGGTGAGTTAGTACTTGGAGAATTACCTGTGGCCCAAATTCGATGGAGAGAATGTGACTTTTGAGCATGTCATGTCAATGATACCCATGATCAAAGGGAAAATTTGATAATTTAAGTAGTCTGAATTGGGCTATTGCTTGGTTACTGATAAGTTTTGAGGATAATGGGAAACAAATTATTGGGTTTTACATTCTATCTAGGCCACTGCAGGTCTGAGGCAATTGCAAGGCAATGCACCCGATCAAATTTGAATTTTTTTTGATTTATAAATGAATCGAGAGAAATTTGAAAACTCAAAAAAAATTGATCAAAATAAACTCAAAGAAAATTGTTCAAAATAAACCCAAAAAAAATTTGAATTTTCTCTGTGTTTGAGTGAATTTCCTCTTTGTCTTAAGTAGTTTATTCATACTTGTGGCTTTAAATTTTTACATTCCAAAGGTCAGGGATTTTTTAAAGGATAACGAGCACCTTGAAATCTAAGGTTGATTGGGTTACGGTATTGGATTGGGCTTAGGAAGGTGCTTAAATGAACCTAGAGAAATTTGAAAACCTAAAAAAATTAGTCAAAATGAACCCAGAGAAATTTGAATTTTCTCTAGATTTGAGTGAATTTCTCTGGGGTGAAGAGGGGAATTTCTCTGGTTTTAGATAATTTCTCGGGGTTGAAGTGAGAATTTCTCTTGTGAGATTTTCTCTGTGAAGTTGAATTTTCTCTGGATCAATTTAAGGGACCTTAGGCATTATTAAAATATTGAATGTCCTTTATGTTATAAAATCTTAATAACAGGGATCTTAAAAAAAATCTCCTTTTTCTTAGTTCTTTATTGTAAATATATATATATATATATATTTATAATTAAAATGATCAAATGATATATTGACAATAAAATAATTTTATTCTCACATTATTTGAGTGTGTGAACAAAAACAATATATGACTAAGTTTATAACAGCGACTCTCATTTAAAAAAAATTTAAAATTAAAATTATTGAGATTATATTATTTTTCACTAATTAAAAATGAAGAAATTACTTGTTAATGTGAGAGTAAAAAATATTTTCAAATCAATGGCATGCTCTATAAACGTGTAATATTCTAAATTTTTCATAATTTTATAATTAAATTTTAAAGGAATCACTGGCAAGCAAATTTTTTATTAAAAAATCATTTTGCTAACAAGTATCTTAGAACACAAGAAAAAGATAAAAGGCATTTTTTCAATACTTTTTTTCTTACTTTTCCAATATTAATAAGTACCCCATGGCACTGGGTAGCATTTACCTTGAAAATTATGTTCTTGATTTGTGTCCTTTCTCCATCATTTACCTTTTTATTTTATTAAATTCAAGTAAAAAAATTTTTCGATATCGCGCATTCTAAAGGAATAATTTGAGATTTCATCAAATTAGTGATCAATCGAAAAGACAAGTGGGGATATTCGACCGGTTGACCGGTCAATGTAAATATTTGTTTTAACTATAAGAAATTTTGTAAGAAGGTAATCGATTAAAGAGATAACTGGCCGAACATCTGACCAGTCGTTTAGTACTTATGCATCACTAGTAAAACTAATAATTATTTATAATAATTTGATGAAAGATTTTAATATTTTCAATTTAATAAAAAATTTAAAATATTTTTAATTTGATACTAATTTAATAATAATAACGTTGAAACACTAATTTTATACGTTTTTTATTTTGATAAAACGTAAGAGGAAGCTTTGAAGACGCGGTAAGGAATTGGGATTTTTAGATTTATTTAATTTTTCACATAACAACTGCCGCGCCTTTTTATTTTATTAAATTCAAGTAAAAAAATTTTCTCATATCGCGCATTCTAAAGGAATAATTTGAGATTTCATCAAATTAGTGATCAATCGAAAAGACAATTGGGGATGTTCGACCGGTTGACCGGCCAATGTAAATATTTGTTTTAATTATAAGAAATTTTGTAAGGAAGTAATCGATTAAAGAGATAACTGGCTGAACATCTGATCAGTCGTTTAGTCCTTATGCATCACTAGTAAAGCTAATAACTATTTATAATAATTTGATGAAAGATTTTAATATTTTCAATTTAATAAAAAATTTAAAATATTTTTAATTTGATACTAATTTAATAATAATAACGTTGAAACACTAATTTTATACGTTTTTTATTTTGATAAAACGTAAGAGGAAGCTTTGAAGACGCGGTAAGGAATTGGGATTTTTAGATTTATTTAATTTTTCACATAACAACTGCCGCGCTTGTGGGCCGATAATATGAATTCTTTTAAATAATAATAATGAACATGAGAACGCAGCGCTCTGAAATTTGGAGGGGCTTCTCGGATCGAATGGAATGGAATGGAATGGAATGGGGAATCATAGTTTTCATTCGTTAACTTCTGGTTTCGATTTCGATTTCGATTTCGATTTCATTTGGGAATACTACATAGTAAGTAGTTCTATTGCTCCAACTTTAATTTACTCTCCCCTGCTCTCTCTCTCTCTCTCTCTCTCTCTATATATATATATATATATGAAATCCACTCATATATATTTTTGTATAATTTTGATATTTGTCTTTGATAATCTTAATGTTGTCTCGGATTCTCTGTCATCTTATATTTCCATTCTCACAAAATCACACACACACACTCTCTCTCTCTCTCTCTCTCTCTCTCTCTCTCTCTCTCTTACATTTCGGTGTGTATAATAATTAGTTTTTAGTGACATTTTCAAAAAGTTAAATCAACAAATTTAACATCTTTCTTTTCGTTGGTTTTGCAACAAATTTAAGAACACCTGTCAGTTATCCAAATACAAAATTTCTATCTTTACTCTAAAGTTCCCAGGCAGGAGTATTTAATCATCATTTACAGATATTAGTCAAAACTATGGAGGATATTATTGTTAATATTTAGTTATAGTAGGGATAATTGTGTTTTAAGCCTCCTATACAAATTTTATAGTCCTACAGGTATACATGTATACACACTTGGATATTGATTATGTGGACATTGATTCTGGATTTTGTGGCGTCAAAAAAAGATAAAATAAAATTGCACTACACACATGAGAATCTTTTTGGTGCAACCCCAACACCAAACCAAACCCAAGAGACGCTTGCACCTCGTGAAAATGAATTTTGTTTCCCATTGTGCCACTGGTTAAAGTTTAATCAGTTGCAAATTGCAATGTTATGACTTCTAAAGTCAAGAGAGACAGACAGAGAGACGGAGAGAGAACATAAACACTGCGAATTGATGCTGCTCAATTTTGAAGTGACTACTCTTACTCTTATTCTTAATTATTCTCTCACTGGTTATAGGATTGAAGTTGTTGCTAACCGATTCTGTGGGCTTTTCGACAGATTGTGATCGTGATCGTGGACTTGTGTCACAATGGGGACTGTGATTAGTAAAACTGCAAATGGCATTGGAACTCTTTTAGGAAATGCCTTTGTAGCTCCATTAAAAGCTGTTTTTGGAGGATCTTGCGAGTAAGGATGTTTTTTTTCCCTTAAGTTTTACTTCTATTGCTCTCCTTGACTAATGCCAAATATAATTCTCATTAGCATAATTAAGTGGCCAGTTAAAGATGTCAACACAATACAAACTCCATTGTGTGTGTATATTAGCTTATTTATTCCATCCATATGTGGTTAAGATGAATGCAATTAATCCTGATTATAATGGCAAAACTAATTAACCATAAATCATATTCCCTTTTGTTTGAATACTAATCAACTACAAAATCCAGAATTTTCGGGTTAGTGAGCCGCATCTTATACATGTTTAAATTGTTCTTCATATGCTTGCACTACAATGGCTTTAGATCACCACAAGTGGTGAATACGAAGAAGGTTTTCCCAGATTCTTGTGAGAATTGCATGAGAAATTTCCCTGCTGTTCACCTTTAATTGATCCCATGTTGGACCATATTACTTTTTAGTCCAATATTGATCTAATAAATTCATGTACAACCAAGTCACTTCCAGGACTGTGGGGGTTGACAGCTACTTTAATTAATCGTGATTTTCTGATGAAACTCATCTACATCTGAATAAGATCCTAATGTTTTACCTACAAAACCATAATTTCCAAGGTTCATTTGAACATATACGGACCTATTATATTGACTGAAATTCAGAAATTGCTTTGACCAGTCAATTCAATTCTGCAGGGGTGTTTGTTCAGGAACATGGGATATAACTTGTTTTATCGAGCATATGTGCATCTCCAATCTGGTGAAACTGTTAATGGTTTTGGGGCTTTGTTACATAAGTAAGTTTTTCTTTGATCTTCTTCTTCTTCTTCTTCTTCTTCTTCTTCTTCTTCTTTTTTCTTTTCCCTCTGATAGTAATTTAATTGTTGAAATTGTGCTCCAGTCATGATGCTGCTGGTTTAACGTGTGGTTATCTTAAATTTTCTTCTTATCAAAATTTTAATGTAAAAGGGTTTATTTTTTGTGAGTGCTGACGATCTTCTTCTTCTTCTTCTTCGTCTTCTTCTTTTTTCTTTTCCCTCTGATAGTAATTTAATTGTTGAAATTGTGCTCCAGTCATGATGCTGCTGGTTTAACGTGTGGTTATCTTAAATTTTCTTCTTATCAAAATTTTAATGTAAAAGGGTTTATTTTTTGTGAGTGCTGACCCAATTTATCTTTGTTCAATACTTTTCCCCATGTTTCTCTTCCAAAGCCATTACCAATGTGGTTATTTTGGTTTGGCTCATTCAAGAAACTTAGTTGATTTGTGGATTCTAAATTAGTTTTTTAACTAGTGTACATTTGTTTGATTGTTAATGATTGATTACTTATTTATTCTTTGTGCCCAGCTTTAATGTTCTTCTATCTAATGTTCGAGCTGGGGATATGCCAATGCATAGGAAGAAGCCTTTGCAGGATGTGTTGGGCTGCATGTGAGACATACTGGTTCGCATTGGAAGATTTCACCTGTTTTCTTTGTCATAAGTTAAAGAATGTCAAGCGGGTAAACCGTCAAAGCCGGCACCGGTGCTGGCGCCGCTTTCGTGATGTTGAGTTAGGGTGTTCTTCCAGTGAAGAGAATACATCTCTAGGTGTTGATCGAAGTGTCATTAGAAGGAGGAAGCTAATTAGGAAGAGAAAGGATAGACCGGGGAGCACTTTCTACCCTTTAAGACAGGTTCCTAAAAATAGATATGGTAGTCACAATCACCACCACCACCACCACCATCACTTAAGGTTGAAGACCAGAGAAGTGTCTGTTCATGTTAAGGGCAGGTCTCAAGGAGCAAAGTACTCAAGACAGCTTCAAATGAGGAAGCTGAGTAATATTCGAAGAGAAGCAGTATTGTTCAAGAAGAGAAGGTTCAGGTGATGATCATAATATAGCAGTAATATGGCCTTGTGTGTATGGAGTCTATGGACTGCAGGTGTTATTGTCTGAGATGTGAGGAATGGATTGGTAAAAGAGGACATAACATATTTGATTGTACCTCTATTTAGGGTGTATATGAATGTTTCTATTAAAAGCGGAATGCAAATCTCAGGATTCAATTGTAACAATAGCTTGTAACTAGAAGATTTCTTGATATCATGTACCACTAGATGATGTTTAAATCTTTCCATTTAGTCATTTGCTCAAGTTTGTGTTGGTCAATGTGGTAAAGTTTTTATTGACAATCTTGCCATTTGTTGAAGAGCGGCTCCCAGTGATCTGTGATTTTTTTTTTGTTTTTTCAAAAAAAAAAAAAAGGAGGGGGGGGGGGGGGGGGAAGAAAACTAGTTAGGGAAAAAGTGTAGTTTTTGTCATTATCTTTCTCATACCCAAGATCAAATCCAAACCATCCATTCTGCCCTGGCTTCCTCGTCATCGTTTCAGAGAACTTACAAGAGAGAGTAAGATTCTTTTTAAAAAAATTAGCCTAATAATGACATAATTATCTGTAGTTTTTGTCCTTTTCTTTCTCATACCCAAGATTAAATCCAAACCGTCCATTCTGCACTAATTCTCTATAAAGAAGCTTGCCCTTGTTCATTTTATAGCACTTACAAGAGAGTGCGAGATTAAAGCCTCTGGGTATAGAGGTCATGTGAGATATTGAGTTTGCATTGGTGTTTGTATTCTGGCTTTATCAAGGTTTGGTTCCTCTTGTATGCCATGAAGGCCTTTGGGTAACTACTTTACTTCTTCACAAGATGGTTAGGATGTTTTCTCCCATGTTCTCATTTAGAAAGTTTATTTTTTGTTCTTCCTCTTCTTTATTGCATATGCATTAAATGTCCTGTATTTGAGTTCATGTTACTCTAACTCGGTCAAAATACTAAATTTCTTTTCTTATGACAATTTTTAGTTCTTTTTGTCTTGGACAATAATTTTGTCAAATGTTCACAATAAAATTGCCAATAAATAAAGTGGATAGAAATGTTGGAGTTGTCGTATTTTGGATCATTTATGACCCTTTTGAGGAAAAAAGTGAAGAATAGTATTTAATCATGATGCATCCACAAAGCAATGTGAAAAAAAAAAAAAAAACCAGAGGATTATGGTATTAATCTATAGATAAACGATCGAAAAGGTAATTTGGGTGGTTCCTTTCTGGCTATCTTGTATAGTTGGTTGTTGGGTTGGGTGACTCCCAACTATGACCTTTTTTTTGGATTTTGTAGAGTTGATGCAAGTGTACATGGGCTGCTTCCCTTTGATGCTTCTATTGATACTTATTCTTACTTAGCAACAGAGAGAAAAAATTAAATGGCTTTGAGTGTGTGCCTGAGGGATAGAAAGAGTAATTTAAGACTGCCTTAATGGGTTAGGTCTCATTTAAATATAAAATTTGAAATTGACTAGGAGTGGAGAGAGTAGTTATGATGGCTTTAATGAGTTTTAAGTGTCATCAAGTTATGTAGTTTGGAATTTAGTGAGAGAGATTTGCTACAAACACAAAAATGATGCACATATTGGGTCACATACAAGATACAAAGGGTGGGTCCCACATGCGGGTCCCACACAAGTGAGACCCACCCTTTGTGTCTTGTTTGGACCCATTCTGTGCACCATTTCTGTGCACTTAGTTTTTCTCTTACTGAGATGAATAAGATTTTTCTTTAATGACAGCAAGTGTGGTAGCTCAAGTCCTGTGTAACAATTTTTGGACACACAAGGCCCATTTTGGAATGCAATTGGCGTTCCTACCCTTTTGATGGATCACGTCAATTTGCAAGTCGAATGATGATCAGTTAATAAACTCATAAGCAATATGTAACAAAATCAAACCAAATATTGAAATCAAAACATCTCAAAATTGAGAAGGTCGGATTTGAGATCTGAAGATCTGGTCTGTAGGTAAGAACTGAGAATGTTCTCAATTTTAGAACTGTGAATGATTTCAGTTTATAATTATCAAAACTAAGAAATTTCTCAATTTTTTTAGTATTAACTGAGAATATTATCAGTTTTGAGAAATTTCTCAATTTTTTTCATGGTTAAAATCGAAAATATTATCAATCTACTCTTACTCTCTCTCTCTTACCTTCACCTTCTCCTCCTTCCACATTTTCGAGATCTGGAAATCTCCAAATCTCGTTCGAGATAGGCATGACAGGGTCACGACGGTGAGAGACGGTGATGGCGACGGTGAGAGACGGTGATGGCGACGGTGAGAGACGGTGATGGCGACGGTGAGCAGGGGGGACCGCGACAGCGAAAAGTGATGGGCGATGACATGGTTGGATTGTAGCAGGGGGTGAAGTGCAAGAGGGGCGAGAAGGCAGAAGGGGCGACTGAGGGAGGTTGCCGTTGGAGGAAGGAGATCGCTGGTGGGGTTTAGCGCCAAGGTTGCCGGTGGTAGTTTAGTGGTGGTGGCTGAAGAGGGCATGAGAGAGAGAGAGAGAGAGGAACAAAATGCTTTGTGTTTTTTAATTTGTAAGGGTAGATTGGTCATATAAAATTAACATAAGTTTTGTGAATAGGACCTAAGCTACCATTAATTGTCAAAATAGGGCTTGACTGTACATTACCCTGGTTTAATTAGGTGGCGGTTAGAATTTACTGAGATGAATAAGATTTTTGTTCAATTAGGTGGTGGTTAGAATTTACTGAGAAAGAGGTATGCCGCATAGACACTCTATGTGGAGGATAGTTAAATAAGTATGTGTGTATGACAAGTTAAGCCATAAGATTCATGGATTTACTGATTAGGCCCTTTTTTGGCTTCTTTTCTTTAATGAATTATTTGTTCACATGAGAGTGAATTCTATATTTTGCAAACCATTTATCACTAAAGTTTCCTTATTAGTTATGAACAGATTACAATTGTTTCCTAAATAGGTTTGTCCTACTGTTACATAATGGTTTGTTTGGAGTAAAGTCTTCCACATGGTTTTCTGGATAAAATACAATTATTATTTATCTGAGCATGTTTGTGGAGGCTTGTGGTGGTTGATAGGTGGACAGCATAGAAGATGTAGTCAGATTTGTCACAAAATAACTTGCTAACTTTGTATTTGTCTGTTGTTTTCTTATTATTTTTCCATATGGGTAGATAGATGAAATGCATGCCAACCAAATTATAATCCCATGACTCATTTGCCAATTTTGATAATGAAACTAAACTCGCAGGTTTTGGTGACTTTGGTGACATAGTTTTCAAGTTTTGTGGTGATCTGTGACCATTACCAACCAACAAAATCTCCCTTTATCAATAAGCTCTTCAACCCACAGGCATTCCTTGCTTGTTGAAATTACAATGACTAGTTGCAGTCTTGGTGTACTTCTCTTTCTTGTACTCTTAAGCTTTTCTCTTGAGAGTCAGCAGCTTTATGGGCATTCATTCAAGTTATCATCAGAGGAAACAGGATCTCATCATGTTGGTATGAAGGGAACTAGATGGGCAGTTTTGGTTGCAGGCTCAAATGGTTACGAGAATTATAGGCATCAGGTGACATTTAGCACCCATTCTTTTATACTGTTTTTAAATTTGTTTGAATGAATTGGTAGATTTATAAGTAATAGTGACTTCTTTGAGTTTCTTTTAGGCTGATGTATGTCATGCCTATCAATTACTGAGGAAAGGTGGATTGAAAGATGAAAATATCATTGTTTTCATGTACGACGACATTGCATTCAATGTACAGAACCCTAGGCCTGGTATCATCATAAATAGGCCACAAGGTGAAGATGTTTATGAAGGAGTACCCAAGGTCCTGTTTCTCGATCTTGAATCTTAGCTTCTGAATATTTCTATGAAATTTTACTTCATATTCTTAATGTGTAAAATTTTATTCTTGTAGGATTATACTGGACATAATGCAAATGTCCATAACCTTTATGCTGTTATACTTGCGAACAAAACTGCTCTTACAGGAGGTAGTGGCAAGGTTTTGGATAGTGGTCCAGAGGATCATATTTTCATATATTATACTGATCATGGCGGTCCCGGGGTGCTTGGTTAGTAGCTCAATAATTTCTGTGAATTTGAATTAATGTTCATGATCTTGCAATATTACACAGTATGCCAAGGACTCTAAATGGATTTTCAACTTATTTGAAGTACAAAAAAACTAGTAATGTTTGACAGACATCATTTTAAAGATACATTAGAACTATTCATCAAAGCTAAACTAGTGGTTTTGATGGTGTTATTTTTAATCAGAGGCACGATGAGGTCACGACGGTGAGAGGCGGTGATGGCGATGGTGAGCAGGGGGGGACCGCGACAGCGAAAAGTGATGGGCGATGACATGGTTGGATTGTAGCAGGGGGTGAAGTGCAAGAGGGGCGAGAAGGCAGAAGGGGCGACTGAGGGAGGTTGCCGTTGGAGGAAGGAGATCGCTGGTGGGGTTTAGCGCCAAGATTGCCGGTGGTAGTTTAGTGGTGGTGGCTGGAGAGGGCATGAGAGAGAGAGAGAGAGAGGAACAAAATGCTTTGTGTTTTTTAATTTGTAAGGGTAGATTGGTCATATAAAATTAACATAAGACTTATGGGTTTAAAGTTTTGTGAGTAGGACCTAAGCTACCATTAATTGTCAAAATAGGGCTTGACTGTACATTACCCTTGTTTAATTAGGTGGCGGTTAGAATTTACTGAGATGAATAAGATTTTTGTTCAATTAGGTGGTGGTTAGAATTTACTGAGAAAGAGGTATGCCACATAGACACTCTATGTGGAGGATAGTTAAATAAGTATATGTGTATGACAAGTTAAGCCATAAGATTCATGGATTTACTGATTAGGCCCTTTTTTGGTTTCTTTTCTTTAATGAATTATTTGTTCACATGAGAGTGAATTCTATATTTTGCAAACCATTTATCACTAAAGTTTCCTTATTAGTTATGAACAGATTACAACTGTTTCCTAAATAGGTTTGTCCTATTGTTACATAATGGTTTGTTTGGAGTAAAGTTTTCCACATGGTTTTCTGGATAAAATACAATTATTGTTTATCTGAGCATGTTTGTGGAGGCTTGTGGTGGTTGATAGGTGGACAGCATAGAAGATGTAGTCAGATTTGTCACAAAATAACTTGCTAACTTTGTATTTGTCTGTTGTTTTCTTATTATTTTTCCATATGGGTAGATAGATGAAATGCATGCCAACCAAATTATAATCCCATGACTCATTTGCCAATTTTGATAATGAAACTAAACTCGCAGGTTTTGGTGACTTTGGTGACATAGTTTTCAAGTTTTGTGGTGATCTGTGACCATTACCAACCAACAAAATCTCCCTTTATCAATAAGCTCTTCAACCCACAGGCATTCCTTGCTTGTTGAAATTACAATGACTAGTTACAGTCTTGGTGTACTTCTCTTTCTTGTACTCTTAAGCTTTTCTCTTGAGAGTCAGCAGCTTCATGGGCATTCATTCAAATTATCATCAGAGGAAACAGGATCTCATCATGTTGGTATGAAGGGAACTAGATGGGCAGTTTTGGTTGCAGGCTCAAATGGTTACGAGAATTATAGGCATCAGGTGACATTTAGCACCCATTCTTTTATACTGTTTTTAAATTTGTTTGAATGAATTGGTAGATTTATAAGTAATAGTGACTTCTTTGAGTTTCTTTTAGGCTGATGTATGTCATGCCTATCAATTACTGAGGAAAGGTGGATTGAAAGATGAAAATATCATTGTTTTCATGTACGACGACATTGCATTCAATGTACAGAACCCTAGGCCTGGTATCATCATAAATAGGCCACAAGGTGAAGATGTTTATGAAGGAGTACCCAAGGTCCTTCTGTTTCTCGATCTTGAATCTTAGCTTCTGAATATATCTATGAAATTTTACTTCATATTCTTATTGTGTAAAATTTTATTCTTGTAGGATTATACTGGACATAATGCAAATGTCCATAACCTTTATGCTGTTATACTTGCGAACAAAACTGCTCTTACAGGAGGTAGTGGCAAGGTTTTGGATAGTGGTCCAGAGGATCATATTTTCATATATTATACTGATCATGGCAGTCCCGGGGTGCTTGGTTAGTAGCTCAATAATTTCTGTGAATTTGAATTAATGTTCATGATCTTGCAATATTACACAGTATGCCAAGGACTCTAAATGGATTTTCAACTTATTTGAAATACAAAAAAACTAGTAATGTTTGACAGACATCATTTTAAAGATACATTAGAACTATTCATCAAAGCTAAACTAGTGGTTTTGATGGTGTTATTTTTAATCAGCGATGCCTTATGATGATTATGTTTATGCTGATGATCTCATTGATGTATTGAAGAAAAAGCACGAGTCCAATACCTTCAAAAGCATGGTACATCATTCTTGCACTGTTATTAATTAACAGTATAGCTTACATAACTTTTGGAGAGAGCTCTTACTTGGTAATGTGTTTATTTATGAAACCTTAGGTATTCTATCTTGAAGCCTGTGAATCTGGGAGCATGTTTGAGGGCCTTCTTCCTGAAGGATTAAACATATATGCAACCACAGCAGCCAATGCAGTAGAGAGCAGTTTTGTAACTTATTGTCCCGATGACTATCCTTATGTTGCCCCAGAATATGACACTTGCTTAGGTGACTTGTATAGTGTTTCTTGGATGGAAGACAGGTACGGTAATTTTGAATATAGCCTCTTATGTTGTGTTTGGTTCACTAGAATGAAAATGGAATGGAATGCAATGCTCATTCTTTTGCCTTCCAATGGAATGACCATTCACTTACAATGGTGAATGATGATTCCATTTGCAATGTATTTTTCATTATTTTTTTAGTACACAAAACGTGAGAATGATAGTGGCATGCTCATTATACTTTATATTAATGAACCAAACACTACCTCAGAATTATTGTTTTGGATGCAAAGAAACTGAGGCTCCTGGAAACCAACTTTTCTTTCTTTAACGTTTCACTTTTGATCCTGAAAGTGTTTCACAACTAATTCCTTTGCTTTCTGCTTATTATTCTGTATTTCATTATTTGGGCAGTGACAAGCATGATTTGCGTACTGAAACTCTGGAGCAACAATATGAAGTGGTAAAATGTCGAAGTTCTCATTGTATTGGAATTTTTTTGGAAGTTGAAAACAAACTAAATTATGAAGGAGAGAACTTTTGAAGTGTGTATGAAACTGAGTGGATATTCCAATGTATCATGAAGTATAGGAAACAAACCATTTACATAGTGAACTGGGCAGCAATCCTTGATATCCTTTAATATTTTGAATGGACTCCACCGGTCCAAATGATTTATCATAATTGCATTCACAGGTGAGGAGGAGGACATCAAATGAGTATCCAGAAAACGGCTCCCATGTCATGCAGTATGGAAATTTGAGGCTTAGAAAGAAGTCTCTGTACGATTATTTGGGTACAAATCCTGCAAATGAGAACTATACTTATATGAGACACGATTCCTCGACATCAATTTCAAAGCCTGTTAGCCAAAATGACGCTGACCTCCTTCATTTTTGGCACAAGGTCTCTTGTATTTTAATTATTTGTTTTATTATTTTAATATTTCATTAAGCTGAAAATTCCTGGTTATACCAAACTTAGGTTTACAACTTCTTTGGAACTTGTTATCTGCATAAAAATTATTAAACTTTTGTTCTTTTAGTTTTTGGAAAATCATAATCACACCTCACTTTTAGCCTCTCACACTCTTTCTAGTGAGAGACTGAAAGACCCAAAAAAAAAAAATATAGGGTGTAAAAGGTTAAAAGTGGAGTATATGTGTCATTTCCCTATTTTTTTGTCTGTTCGATTCATAACAAATTATATTTATTTCTCCAGTTCCGCAAAGCTCCTAAAGGTTCTGAAAAGAAACTTGAGGCTCAGAAGCAATTAATTGATGAGTTAAATCAAAGGTTGCACATAGACCATATTATGATGTTTATTGCGAAGCTTCTGTTCGAATCTGAAAATGGGCTGCTGATGCTGGAAACTGTTAGACCTGCAGGACAACCTCTTGTAGATGACTGGAACTGCTTGAAGACACTTGTGAGTTTTACTAATCTATTTCATGCTTTTGTATGTAAATGTTTATCCTATCAATATCATTGCAATATATATATATATATATATCTAAATCTAACAACAACAAGAAGAAAGTGATTTGGTTTCAACTCTGTTTCATGCAGGTGAGGACTTATAAGGAACATTGTGGATCTCTGTCAAGGTATGGAATGACGTACATGCGTGCCATTGCTAACATGTGCAATGCTGGGGTGAAGATGGAGCAGATGGCCATGGCATCAGCTCAAGCTTGCATGGGGACCACACTGATTCATGCAGCTCCCTCTACAATGAATTAAATTAAGAGTCCTAGTACATCACCTATATCTCTTTAATGTTCTTTGAACAGTCTCTGTGCATAAAAAATGAATTGTGAAAGCTATTTGCTTAGCTGTTTGATGATTTCTACCATGGATGAAGCTTTGATTTATGAATATTATTATCAGCTTAAATAAGCAGCTTGTTCAGATTTGGTTGGTGTGAATGTTAGAATTGGTGAACACTTTGCAGGTTGAGGAGTTGCCATTAAATTGTTACGCCTACGGCTACGTCAATGTCACAATTGAGTTAATTATTTGTAGATTATTAAAAAAATTATTATTAATGTCATAGTTTTGTAAATGAGTGTGTAATTTGTACGTCACTTATCACAAATTACACATATTAGAGTGTATAGATTCTGAATACATATACACATTATATATATATATATAAAATTAATTATACTAAGACACTTGTCAAATATTAATGAATATCACCCTACCTCTCATCTATGAATCCCAATACATATTAACACCCTCAACTAGTTGTCCAGTTCCTATTATTTCATTCTCATCTTCAAATTGTGTTTACCTAGGAGTTATACCTTGATTGGGATCTGGCCTGCACCACAACCTCATCCAATGACCTTCTGTCATGTGACACTTCAATTCAAGATCATGCTATGTGGTTGACGTCCTAGACCCACGTGGCCCTACTTACAGATGTTTTCACAATTTTTATCTTCTAAATTTCTATGAACATTTAAACAAAATGAGCAATATTATTGTGAGTCATTTACCCTTTGTTTTCTCGTAAATATACTATTTTGAGGTTTCCCTATGACCTAGAATATCAAAAAATTAAAAAATGCAAGATAAAAGAATAAAGCATAGAAAATAAAAGTAATATTCAACATACAAAATCGTATGTACTTTTTTTCAAAGAAATATATATTAATAACAAAGTCAAATTAAGACAACAATTCTTGCAGGTACTCGTGTGAAAAATTAATCAATGATTGAGATTTTGCGATTCTTACCAATAAAAAAACAAGAATGAAAGAAAAATAAATTAAAAGAGAAAGAGTACAAATATGTTATCATAACATAAAGGAGATGAAGAATAATAACCAAATTAAACCAAACCAAACCAAACCAAATCTTAACTTCTATCAAATAAGGTCAACAGGAGATGAAGAATAATAAAGGAAATCAAGCGAACATGTGAAAAAATAATAATTTTATAGAAAAACAAAAGAAATTAATTTTTATTATGTAAATTAAATTTGAGAGATTTGAGAGAAGAAGACAGAAAAAAGAGAAGAATTAAAGAAAATAAAAAGTCACATGACATGACACACTAAGGTAGCATTTGGTTTAATTTTAGAATCATGATTCCAATCAAAAAATTTCAAAACTCAAAACTCTATTTTTAAAACCAAAAAAAAAAAAAACTCAAAAAATATATTTTGTTATTTTGTTCTTTAAAATGGTTTTTTATTTTTTTTAAAATGTTTTTTAGAAAATATTTTTATTTTTACTTTTGAAGAAAAATATTTTTATGTTTTTGAAAAAACTATTTTGTTTTTTTTTTAAGTATTGGCCAAATAAATTGTTATGATTTATAGGGCTGAGCAAGGAATCCGTGAAATCCGTAATCCGATCCAGTCCAGTCCAATCCGATAGGTTTGGATTGGTTTTTTAAATCCGCGGTTCGGTTCCGGATTGAAGAATTAAAAATCCGTAGTACATGAATTGGTTCCGGATTGAACCACACGGTTCCGGATTGGAACCGATCCAGACCGTATACAAATAGTATATATTTTTAATATACATCCTCCCCCATAGTATCTTCTCTTATTTTATATAAAATCTAAACTCAAACCTAAAACCGTATGATATCTTCTTTTATTACTTTTGTTTGTTAGTTTTTAGTTTTAATTTGTAATGGTCCAATAAGTTTTTTCTTTTCTAAACTCATTTTAAAATTTTATCTTTCAAAATATAACTCCACATTCAAGCCATGATTTTAAAACTAAATCAAACAAAAATTTTGTGAGTTATGTAAAGAGTCAATAACAAGTAGATAGGTAAAAAAAATTAAAAATATAAAAGATAATTTGTGAATACATTGATGACCTGTGGCAACTGTTTAGATAGTCACATTGCAAATTTTAGAGCATATTAATGAGAGGCGCAATTTTATTTATTTATATTTATATGATGGTTAATTACTGTCATATCATATGATTATTTGACGATGTCATCAATATTCATCAACAAAATTCTATTTACACACCACATTTATCTCCTTTCATTTTGAGAATTTTTTTTTTCAATTTTACTTATATGTGAAATTACCTTTAAGGACAAAAGATAAAGATTAAATAGATTTGATTATCTCTTTACATCCATTATATTTCAATCTCTATTTCTTTTGTTTCTTTCTCATTTCTTCTTTTCTACGATACATCTACTTTCAAAAAGTAAAAATCACAGTGTTTTGATCATAAAATAAAGTAATGGACGAATAAATAATGATGAATGACTAGCAAAAAATTAAAATGGTGAGTTTTTTCCTTTGTTTTTTATATTTTCGTTTCGTTTTTTAAGAGGGTTGTTCGTTTTTTGTTCAGTATACCAGAACCGAACAAAATTAAATAGTCCAGAATCACACTGTCCAACAAAACTACATATCCGATAACCCATTGCAGAACAAAAAAGATTTGTTTAGTAACCTACAAAAACTATATCAGATAACCCACTGTTGAACAAAAAAGATTTGTTCAGTAACTTACCGTCGAACAAAAAGTACATGTCCGGTAACTCACTACTAATCATTTCCAATTTCATTTTTCTAACATTTTTATTTTTATTTTTTTTGCTTTGAATGATTATGCTTATATTAATTGTAGTAAAACTAATAGTGCATTGTTAATAGACTACAATCATGAATTCATTACAAACGAGTAGGGGTATGCGTGGTGCGATTCGGGAGGTTTGAGAGTAAAATTATATACCGAATAGCGGATTAGCGGATTGGCAAATTGCAATTTGAGCAATTTTGGACAGATTGGCGGATTGAAAAATATTATAATCAATTATCAAGTATTTGCATAATATATTTACATAATATTTTTTATTTATATATATATAACCCAAACAAATTTTACATAATACTTTTCATATATATAACTATTAATTTGTAATAAATTTCACATATTAAATTTCTTTTGCACTTATTTTTACTTTGATATTTCATTATAGGTTAAAAAATATATATGTATTAACTATAGCGGAGCGGAGCGATTCGATTTCAAAGGCGGTTTATAAATTTTAAAGTTTAAACCGTGATTAGCAAATAGAGTGGTGCAGATTGATGCGAATTAGTGTGATTTTAGCAGATTGGGTGATATTTTGCACAACTCTATAGACGAAGTTTGTTAGATTTATTTGCTTCCTGATCATCCAGTACCTTCAAAAGTAAGTAATTGGATTCATTTTCATCACTCATGTGCTAATGGATAGGAGAAAGCATATACTACCCGTATTGATAAACTTCGTACACTTGTCAACCTGATATAGTAACTACTGAAACTATTAACATAGATAAATTGTAATAATATCTCAGTGTATTTTTATATACATTTGTATTAATAAATTTGAAAATATTTGTATTGACAAATTTTATGAATGTTTTTGTACACTTCATTTTTTATGGATGCTTGATGTTTTAAGGAAAGTGAATCTGTAAACATGCGGCAATCGATGGCTAGACAAATCTAATTTGTTCGGTAATATAACACCGGAATAGTTCAAATTGTTGGGCAATGTACAACCAAACAGGCCCAGGATAAATTTAGAAAAAAAAAAAATGATGTTTTGAGGAAAGTGAATCTGTAAATGTACGACAACAAATGGCTAAACAAATATAATTTGTTCGGTAACATAACATCGAAGTAATTCAAAAGGAATAGGTGTAATAAGAAAAATCTATAAGAGTTTTGAAAATGATTAATTTTGGAATTATAAATGGTGTAATGAGAATTTTAATTATTTCTTAAAGGTGTAATGAGAAAATAGGTGTAAATAGGTAAAATTGTGGTGTAAGTAGAATTTCCCTATTTCATTAAAGTTCATAACGGTCGCCGAACCAAAAAAATAGTGGAATACTATGCAATTTACAGAAATAATAGGATAAATTATAAAGAGGCTGTTATTAACACCTACCTTATCTCTTTGGACACTCTAGTTTTCACCCATTTTTTTTATTATAATTATACCCTGAAATACAATTATATTAAAGGACAATTTTTAATAGAACACTCACCTACTAAATAAAGACCATTAGAATAATACTCTACAATATTATACACCCACCTCCAATCCCACCAAACCATTCTGTTACCCAAAAAGCAACCTAAGAGGAGGGGTGAATTAGGTTTCTACAAATTAAAATTAATAATACTCCAATAAAATTAGCTACTAGTACAACATATTATTAATAAGCACAATGATGAACTTAGCAGTAAATGATCAAGCAAAATAACAATGAAGTATAACTAACATACAGGATAAATCAAATGATTAACATATGAATATTAGAAAGCTATAGCAGTAGTAGGAAAGTAAAGAGATTAGGGAAGATGAGACAAACAGATTTATAGTGGTTTGACTTCAACTAAGTCTACATCCACTCGTCAAGCTTCACTTAAAATTTTTCACTATCTTCTAGCTTCACAGGGGTGCTAACAACCTCTTTACAAATGAAGCAATCCTCTACGGATTTTACACAGACTTCACAAGCCCAAACCCTTGCAAATCTTAGGTGATTCACAATCACTCTCAAGATTTCAAGAACATAATGTTTGCAATACTTTTACAAGATGAAATGGTATTTTTGCTTTCAAAGAAAGCTTACAATAAATATCTCTCAAATATAGATATATAAAATGAAGCTTTAATTTTTCTGTAAATCTCACACAGGAAAGATGAACTTAATGCTATAAGGCTCAGTGTATAATTTCTGAGAATAGATATGAGTGATTATAAATCAAAGAATATTTTCAGATTTTTGTAACTTGTTTATATTATAGGCTTTGGTATATATAATGAAAATTATAACCGTTGTATTCATTTGAATTTATAATCGTTTATAGCCGTTGTAGTCATTTGAATTTATAGCCGTTGTACTTCAATCATTAGTAAATCTCACACACGAAAGATGAACTTAATGCTATAAGGCTCAGTGTATAATTTCTGAGAATAGATGTGAGTGATTATAAATCAAAGAATATTTTCAGATTTTTGTAACTTGTTTATATTATAGGCTTTGGTATATATAATGAAAATTATAACCGTTGTATTCATTT